CAGGCCCTGTTCAGTGAAAACAGGATCATGCTAAGCATTATTTTCCCACATATTTACTACAATTCTTTTAGCAGTCTCAGCCAATCTGTAAAACAAAACTATAGGGATCTGGTCTTTTGTGGTTTTTAAAATCATGAACCAAACTGACACAGCTGTTTGTATGCTAATTGTCACCATGGGATAATTTTTACAAGTAATGTTATTTTTAATTTATTAAGAAATGTATCATATCATTATCATAGACATATTGAAAGTCAAGCTTATCTGTTATATCATTCCGAAAGAAGGTCAGAGAAATGGCATTGGTTCCAGTCCCATGAGTCAGGTACAGCAGAAAAAGAAGTCTCTATCGTGCTGAGCTGTTCGTAGGCAGAGTTCATTTAAACTAGAAATTTTTCTTCTTATGGGAAGTATGATTGATTTTTGCTGTGATTTTGGTCATTCAGTATATGAACCCTATCCTTGGAGAATTCCTTTAAAGGAATGTTTATGTTTTGAAGAGTCTATAACTTCATGGGACCAGTATTCATATCTTCCACCAGCATTTGTTGGGTTCTCATCTTTATACTAAAATGATCATAATAGAAATAAAGACTCATGAGACAGTCTATAGAAAGTTACTTAAGCTGAAGTAGTATGATGGCATTTTCTGTCCCTAGATGAATAAATTTGTATATTTGATACTTGATTTTGCTGGCATTTGGGCTGTGGCATATTTATAAAGTTGATCGTACATCTCATAAGCAATCCGTTGAATAGAGGTTTCAATGTGAGAGTATTTCTAGGTTTTCAAAAAAAAATCTTGCTGATTATGGTGCATTTATGAAATTAGTCAAATTGAAGAGTTGGCTTAAATGTGTGCAATCATGAAATATGAATAACATGTTTTCCAGAAATGCAATTCTGAAATTCTGATGTGCTGAAATATTCCAGAAACCTTTGTATGAGCTCATGGAAAAGGGGAAAAAAAACCCCAAAATTAGTTGAATTAGTGGTAGATGATTTTCATATTTGCCTTTTTTTTTTTCCAAATAGGGGGGGTTTTCTCCTTTGGTTACATTGCTGTCCATAAAACTATAACATCTTTTTCCTTGTAAAGTGAGATATATCTTCCTTATAAATAAAGCTTTATGCAGATCAGACTTCTGTACTAAATCAGAGCTGGTTTTACTTGTCAAGTTCTGCTGTTGCATTTTGGTTTAATTTGCTTAGAATTTTTCATCTTTTCTTTGAGGGAAGGCTTGGAAAAGCAGAGAACCCATGCCCCCACCATAGTTAGGTGTTTGCTTCCCTTTCAGCAAATCTGTCTCGTGTAGCCCAGCATTTCCAATCTGTAACAGCACCTTGCATAACTCACAATATTGGAGTGGACAAACTTCTAATATTGGAGTGGACAAACTTCTCTGCTTATTTAGTTGTTATCCACTTTCAGCATTGATTTATATTAATGATGTGAGTGTAAAGCAGCTCTATGTATTTTGTAGTACAGGACAAACATCTGCCTTTCCAAAATCTCAGAGTAGCAGAGCATCCTCAAAAGTCAGGTCCTGATGATCAAGACACAGGTTTTTGGATGTCTATCTTCCATCAGTTTAGTTTAACACAGTTTAAAGGCTTATTTAGTACCTGTTAAAAGGCAAACTCAAGTAGTAAAAAAGCTGTTATCTGGATACTTGGTGGTTTAAGCAATACATGCCAAAAGCTTTCAAAAACCTTTTTGATGTGAGCATGTAAACCTGTACAAAAGGAAATTTGAAGCACCTGTCTTAGATGTGAATGAAAGTGAGTCCAAGTTATAATTTTCACCCATTCCTCTTCCGCAGTGCCTTCTGTAAATATTCTGCGCAGGCCTTTGCAGTTTGTGTAAATTATGCCCCTATTCTCTCAAAGCCTTTGGTGGTCATTCTGATCAACCACATCAACTACAAATGGCTGAACTGGCCAACTCTGACAAGAGTTTCTGAACTTGCCAACAGTCCCCAAATAGAGCAGTGAAAGCTTTTTGTAGATTTCTTTCTCCTATCCCCACTCTATTGTCTCTCTAGCTTTATTCACTATAGAGTTGTAATCTTAAATTTTAACTTAACCCAAGGAGGCAAGGAGCTGCAGACCTAATGATTTTCATTGCTAATTTTATGAAAATTTCAAGAACAAGAGCTGAAGGATCAAACCAAAACACCATCTTCATTACGTATTTGTTGGACAAACCTCTACTCTATTTTTACTACTTCCAAAATATTGCAGTACAGTACCAGCCATATAGACCTTCACACAGATACTGGCATGCCAGTGGCAGGACTATATATAAGACTCTTAGTTTGCACATAAAAAATATCAGTTGAAAGCTGTAATTCCAACTTTAACAGATTCGAAGGCTTATTGTAGTTTTGTGTCTCTGTTCATACAAGTTGAACAAGTTGCTACTCATCTGTGTTTGCCAATATTATGATTTTATTATAATACAGATATTACTGCATTTGGCTTCTCTCCAATTTATTTGAATGACATATTCTACTTCAGTGTTAATTAGGTGCAAGCTCCAAGATCTAAAAGATAAGACTATAATACCTTGGTACATTTCCTCTAAAATGCCTTTTATGTGATTTATTAGCTACACAAAGATCCCAGTCAGAAACATTAAATAGTTCTAACTTGTAGGGTATTGGAATTTTAGGTTTCTGAATGCTTTTTCTTCATGAGCTGCCTGCTTTTAGAATTTGAAAATTAATTTATTGATCCATTATCTGAGAATTTATATATTTAAGTTATATTTACATAAAAGTAAAACATCCTATTCAGGCCATTTTAAAAATGTTTGTCATTTTCTCAACATTAGTGATCTACTGGGATAAGCAGAGAGAGCATACTGGAGCAGAGCTGGTTTAGCCAAGCCATCACCTCTCTCTCTCCATCCCCCGTAGCTTAAGGAAAACGTTTAATGAAGGAGGAATCATACAGTACTTTTCTCTCTTCTTTGAAATCACATCCAGATTTTATCTCACACTCTAACTTCAGTATCTGTAATCTACCAGTCCAGGATAGTTAACTAGTCTATTGATAACTGTGTTTCATGGATTTCAAAGATAATGGTGTGAAAAACCCCAAAGACTAGTTTTAAACTGAAAAGTTATCAGTTCATGCTTTTAATTCTTGCTACTATTGCATTTAGAAGGATATCATGCATTCTGAATACAGTTAGATGATTTTAAAGCTTCCTTATGTCACTATAGCTTGTACCTGTAAAAAATATTTATCAGTGTAATGGCTGAAACAGTATGTTTTAGAACATTTTCTATGTTTCAAAGAGAAAAATCACATAACTAAAATAGTTGAAAAGAGATAAAAGTTGTGCATTAATGACATCAGAGATTTCTGTAATGGGGAATGGTGTAAGCCAAATTTTGCAGATACCATGATGCAATTATACTGTAAAAGAAAATACAGAGAAAACTGTACAGAGTTTCCAAGACAGTGGAAATACCCCAATATACTTTTCTCTTTCTTCTCACCATCACTATATTATTATAATTTTAAAAAACGTCTTATGTTATGAACACCTTATAGGTTAGAAATCACCTTAAACTCTATTCAGGATGTGGAAGAACAAGGCATAAGTGCTTTCCTTTACAAATGGAGCTCATCTTGAGGTGAATAGGATTTAAGACCCTCCCCTAACTTTCACATGTTCTATTTGCTAATTTAGGTGATTGCCTCAACATGTCGAGCATGTATGTGAGCCATGAACTTTCTAGTCTGTCAAAAACAGCGTCTGGCAGATTTTCCTATGCCCATGACTCCTACACGTCTTCCTGCTGTGATGCAGAAAATTCTTACATATTTAAACCTTTGATAGGTAATTTTCTATTTTCCTGTCTCTTAGGTACTTAGACAATACAGGCAATGCTCAGAAAGGACCTTGGGAAGGCTGCCTTCTTTTGCTCAGAAGGTTCAGTTAAAGAGAAGCAATGGAAATATTTTTGCAAATAATTTATTTACCAGTGTACCCTTTCAGTGTTTCCTTTTACTTTGCAGCTTCTCTTGAAAGTTCATTTTTTCTGTTTCTTGAAAGAAATCACCTTCTTCCTGGCACAAGAAAAGCACAGAACATCCCTCTACTTCTCCTTTAAACCCAAAGACAGTATGAAAAACATATCTGATTTTTAATGCAAAATATGCAAAATTACCCTCTCTTGACGATGTTAACAGAAATAAATGAACAGAAAAATACTTCGATTGATTTTTGGATTGGGCAAAATAGAAGAATTTATGGTTTTGTCTGGTGATAGTTTTATAGTTCTGTTTTGCTGATAGTTTTACTAGCATGAAAAAAGTTGTGAATGAGCATGAAAAAGTCCTAAAAGAATATGTAAAACACACCACCCAACTACTCAACTGCTCACCCTTTGCAGATGTTATAGTGGGTGTCTACAGACTTCAGACATCATTCATGTTTATCACTTGTACAGCAGGACAGCTTTATTTTTGCACTGGAACAGATGTTTATGAGAATTCCACATCTTTCATAGTGTTTATTTGCCTTTCATCAATGCTTCCAAGCTCTTTCAACATAAAATCAGTAGGAAAAACTAAATCTGTACAAGTGTTTCTTTACCTCTTCTAAATTTTTCTTAGATAATTAAAATATTTTTTTGTTAAATTTCTTTTGAAAATGAACAACTAATGTAGGCATGTATTAAAGTTACAAGAGTTACAGGAAAAACTTTTCCCAGACATAAAATAATCAGGAAAATAAAACATTTAGGATGTTTAGAGGTGTCTACAAAACAGTCCAAATTTCTGAATTTTTTGAAAGCATAATATTCTGTCTATTCTTTTAAATACTTATGTTGTTGTAGAAAATTTATGAAAAATGTAAATGGCTGTTTTATGGAGTTGCTCAAAACCTTTATAAAAAATTCTTAAGTTTTCAATTGTGGTTAGTAAACTAATGTTCTGCTCACTTATTATGTTGTTTTGGGGGTTTTTTTCCTGTCAAACAGGTGCGTTTTATGAAATTGTTCAGAGCTTCCCTCGAATGGAGGAAGATGTGCGAGTGGATTCATATGTAAGCAGCAACAGGTGGAGAAGGCACTCAGAGTCTCTCAAATCAATTGACACCAACAGAGCCAGCATGGGGCAAGATTCCTCTGAGCCAGGGGGTTTCACAGACCTGCTGCTTGAAGAAGGCCATGACAACACCACCCAGATTGAGGTAGATATTCATTCCATCTATTTTTTTATTCAATTCGTTATCTTTGATTGGGGGTAATTAAAAAATTAGGACATTTCCTTCAGTGTATTCAAATGTCGACAGGGAGGAGAACCTCTGGTCTTTGTATTTGTGAACTGTCAGCATGTGGAAGCTGGTTATCTCTTGTTCTGAGACAGGAGCCTATCCTTTCTGACTTTTGAAGATGGTCTCTTGAGGCTGTCTGTTCCTTTACTGGAAAACACCTAAGGGAAGTCCCATGTTTTGGCAGTTCTGGAGACATGGAAAAAGAAGTAGTATTAAAATAAAATAAAACTGAATTGTTTTTTAGAAGTTGGTGTAAACACCTCAGTTTACGAGACTTTGCCTGTCTTTATGGAGAGCTATATCCAAGCACAAAGGGGAAAAGGCTCTAGAAAAATTAGAATTTGGAAGAAAATTCAGGTTGGTCATTGAAACAATTTGCACATGTTATTTGAGTTTTGGTCTTCCAAAGAAGAATAACATGGATCAAGTCCATCTGTATGAAGTCTTGGGATATTCTCCCTCTCTTTCATGGTGTCATTCAACCTTTGATTTCTTTTTTAAAAAATTTTAACTGCTATATTTCCCTGTCCTCTGTCCTGTTTTGTTTGGTTGTTTTTGTTGTTGGGGTTTAAGTATTGGTTTTGAGGTTTTCTTATTAATAAAATCTACATCCTGTTTTTCAATAAAATACAACTTGGAATAAACTACACTTAACATTTTCACTGTTTAGAATCTACTTCCAAAGCAACAGTACTATTTGTTTTTCAGTTCTGAGAAGCTCACTCTGAGACAAACAAAACAACTTTCAGATTTTGGGTTGTTATCTTACAAAGTAAAAAAGCAAAGCAATATAAAACCCATCTGTACAGACAATGACATGTCTGCAGCATGAGTGAAAAATAATAGTGCTTTCTGAGAGGTGCCTTTTCTGTTTGTTATTTTTTAATCTTCCCAGTTTGCACAAACCCAATTATGTTTCCTCTTGTATAAACATGGAAGTCACTGGTTGGTAAATTATAGTTTTGAATTGCATGTTGCTTTTGTAATTTCTGTTTTCCCCCTATGTAATCCTCATGTGCCCATACGTGTAGCAGCTCTTACACACACAACACAGATCGATCTTGCAGGTAAAGTGCAAGATGTCTCAGTTACAGCAAAGTTTGAGTAGCTGATCTTTCCATGGCTTACCCATAGATCCCTATGCAGTGTCTCCCTTTAGTTCCAGCTCTTATGAAGCAAAACAGGTCAGATCTCCCTCTCTAACACTAATGTATAGCAAGATTTGGGGAAAAAAAAAAAAAAAAAGAAGAAAAAGAGAATGCTTGCAAATCAATATACATAGAATGACATTTTTCCAGGGGCATCTTTCCTGTCAGATTAATGGCCTTACAGAGTCTTAACCTGAATAGTGCGTCAACCTTACTGAGTTTATTGAATTCAGGTTTTGTGTTCTGTTGTAACCCTCTTTTTCTAAGGTCTTTTCAGCACAATAAGATAACTGAGTTGTGGTTTTACACATTATCGGATTCTGTTGAAAATCCCTACTACACCACACGGGCATCTTACAAAAAAGACGTTGATGCCTGGCTTTATAGAGGAGGTAAAGTGTACTACAGATATTCAGAGAGGAAGAATCCGTATGTCGCAGTTTTCTGCAGCTTGGGAACTTATCAGTAGTGTTGGAGAGCATATTGATTATTTTAAATCCTTGCTCTGTGTACATTGCAGGGCTTGCTAAAGAAAATCCAGAGAATGAGTATTACCTGCCACTTATATTTAGCAATGCTACAGGATGACAACATCCCTCCTTTACAGATACTGTTTCTCTCTAAAATATTTTCTAGGCTTACCATGCAAATGCAGAAGACTTCTTTAATAGGAAGACAGACAGCAGTGTTTTCACTTGAAATTATTTTTTGTTCTTCTTTTCAATGATGAGTTCACTTTACCTGCAGCCTTAGAAACCCAAAACAAACAGCTCTTGCCCTCTCTCAACCCTGCCCCTCCCACCACCCAAGAAAAACAACAAAAAAATCCAAACCAACTCAAAACAGCCAAGGACAAAAGGGAAACCAGTAGGCGGAAATTTCTACATGCTGTTTAAAATTAACTCTAAATATTTCCCTTGTTATCAAATCTATACCGTCATAAGGTACCTGTTTAGATGTGCAGCCTCTCTGGTCCAAGAGATGGAACAGTGTAGCCATCAGGGACTCCAGGACGTTTGCTGTCTCTCTTCACATCTCTGTTTTGTCTCGTGCATTTATTTGGCACTGTGATTCAGGAAAGGACTCATGCAAAATAATATACATATTCAGTTACTTTTTTAAATAAAGATGTTCTCTTGAATTGGACTTGAACTAAATTGCTGAGATTAGCAGAAGCAGTGGCTATAGCCATTTGATGTGCAAGACCTTCCGGAAAGAGCAGGGCCTTGAGAAGAAGACGACAAGATCTCCAAGTCCCATTGTGTTGCCATAGAATAGGAATGTTGTGGTCCATGGGTGCACTGTTGTGGCAGCACAAACCCACAAAACTGGAGGTGCCAAGAGAAAGGCAAAGGATGGGAAGAACAGGTTTCTGCAGCAAACCAGATTGGAGAGCTGACAGCTAGCTGTAAATTATGGGGTAAAATCAATATATAACAAATGCTTATCATAAACACTTTATAAAACAGTATCACTATCTCGAAAGTATTCCTCTTTTCTCCTACTTTGGTAGGGCTATTATACTTTGTCGATTAGAGACTGATGTTGTAAATCTAAAAAGGCTCCCAAGGATGGAGTGAGTCTCATATCCTTTATTTGCAATTGGTATTTTAGAGTCCAAATACAGAGGAGAGTCATACTCCATAAGAGGCTTATTATGGTTTCATTGCCACTACATAAAGTAGCCAAAGAGAGGGAGAAAGCTCTGAAAAGGTACAGGTGTAAAAAGAGTGAGATCCCATGTTATATAGGTGGATACAAAAGTCACAGTTCTAAAGAAATCCCCAAAGCAGTTGTTCTTGGGGCAGGTGAAGAAGTATGTTGCCAGCAGTTCAAATCAATTGTAAGGGTCAATCCCAAAAAGAGTATTCTGGTGACACATTGCAACAAGTTGGCTTCGTGGCAAATGAGAATTTTAGAGTCTGTTGGAGATAGGAGAATCCATGGCTAAGCCATATTTCTTCCCAAGGGTCACAAAGCCAAACCTTAAAGCCTTATACCTGGAATAACTTTGGGACTGTCAGAAGCTGAAGTGTTTCCCACTATACCAGAGGAGTTTTTTTGAGTTTGGAAGCATCAAAATCACATCCCATATGCACTACATGGTGCTTGGGAATGGTCAGTGCAAAGGCAGCTTCCTTGGTCCTGCAGGTGGTGGATGGGGGAAAAGTGTACCACGCTGTGGTTACAGGGATCTCAAAGACAGGGATTATTGTGGGATATACATTAGAAATCATGTGGGAAATTCCAACATGAAGTGCTATTTGTATCAACAATTCTTTCTAGAAAGTTTGTTTCTCAAATTTCTGGGATTTCACAATCTCATAATTTCAAGTCTAACTTTCCTTTTTTTTTCCTCCCATCTTTCTTAGGATTCTTGTCTTGGGGGTCAGGGTCGTTTTGGGTTTTTTGGTTGTTGTATAATCCACCACTTTTGTTTATTGTGCTGAGGGCATTCAGAAGTGCCTTTTACTTATGATAAATAGAGCCTAGGAAATGCAATGTTTCAGGTGGAATTTGTTGCTGCAAACACTGTAAGTCCTTGTAAAAGCAGTGAGTGTGAAAATACATCTTCATGAATATGTCTAGTTTGGCATGTCTTCTTTCAAGCAAGGAGAAAAATAAGACAAATAGACTACTTTTCTTCATATACTCTCATAAAAGTATGCTCCATAATAACTCATTTTTATTAAGTAAATTAGTATTAATATTGTTAAAATAAACACAGCTTCATGGTCATGATGTGACAGTTGTTCAATTGACCCCAAAGCCCTGTAGCCATAAAGGTAATGAAGACAGATATCAGAGGTTCTTGCTGCCTATTGCTCTTCTGCATTTACTGGAAAAGGAGCTGATCTCTGAAATGCATCTAGTATGGATGCTGGGTCCCCAGTATTCACCACTAAGGTATCCACAAATGAATTCCTAATGTAGGTCTGACTACTGAGCACTGAAAAAAGCTTAATAATGCATTAAAATACAATTGTGCATTTCAGAACTTTTGCATCATAATTTTTCCATTGTTTAAAATGTACATAATTTTTCAAGGAATATCCTATGTTTATGGCTATGTGTAGCTCCACACAGAACTGATTCTCCTTCTGTATGTAGAGTTTTGATCTCTTTATCACAGATCTTCTGTAAAACAGCCCCAGCTGCAGCTGACTTTATAGAAAGGTTTTGGACAACTTGCTTGATGGTCCTTTGTTTCACTGTTCTCTCTCCCCGGTTCTTGTGTCTGCAGTCACCTCTAGTGCACAGTAGAACACTGACAAGTAAAATACAGAGAAATCGAAGTGGAAAAGTCTCTAATATATAGCCTGCATTGGCATGAGCAGAAGATAACAAACTTTGCAAAATAACTTTAGATCATGTGAATTACTTTCAAATTTTTGCCATTGTGTGGAGATACTACATCAAAACAATAGTCTTTCGCAAACTTCAAATATCAAAAATAAATCCAGCAATAAAATAATAGATTAAATCATAGTCAAGCTTGTGCTGAGTGCAGTAAGGTTTTAATGCTTTGTACCAGGAAAAGTATGAGGAAAACATGATTTTTCATATAAAGTCTTAGAACAGAATGAATGATTGCAACTGTATGACAGAAAAAATTCAGTTCCAAGCAATAAACAGCATGCTGAGCACGCTAAATCAAACCAAATTTCAACTTTATCTTACTTTCTCCACCCCTTCTAACATAGTACTTGCAAGCATAGAAAATTGTGACTATTTCAGTGCAAAATAATTTTTTTCTGTAGTGAAGTG